ACAAAAATACCAATATCAGTGCCAACAAAATAGTGATTCTGATAATCTGATAATAATGTACAATTTCTTTCAGTGATCACACACACAAAAAGAAAGGTTTTTATTTTTAAAAGGTCGTGGTGGGTCTTATGGAGATGGTGACTTTTCAAAGGAGGTAAGGACTTAGCAACGAGGGTCTCTGGGGGAAATGCCCACCATGCAGAGAGCACAGCCCTTGCAGGGGTGTTAACATGGGAACAGGGCTGGCATCTTCTAGGGTTAAAAAAGAAGGCAAGGAAGGCTAGAGTAGAGTGACAGAAGGTGAAGCATAAATGAGATCAGGGAGGGAATGATTGGAGGTGGGGTGGTGGGGCTAGTCTTAGAGAAACCTATAGGGTGTTGTAAGGATGTAGACTCACTCTGAATGAAAAAAGGAACATTTAATACAGAGATGACTTATGTTTTAAGAGGATCACTCTAGCTCAGTGATGGTGAATTTATGGTGCATGTGCCACAGCGGGCTGTTATCATTGAAAGCTCTGAAAGGTTCGCCATCCGTGCTCTAGCTAATGTGTTGAGAAGGGGCTAGTACAAGAACAGGAGAGCTCTGAAAAGACTGATCCAAGTATGAGATGATGGTAGCTCACCAAGGGGGTCGCAGGGAGGTGATAAGGGATGCTCTGACTTGGGACAAGATACAGGGTGTGAGAAAGAAAGAATGCCAGCATGACTCAAGAGTTTTTGGTCCAAGCTTCTTGAAGGATGCAGTTTTTATCAACTGAGACAGGAAAGCTAGTGGGTTAGGTTTGAGGGAGAATATTGTTCAGTTTGTGACACATTAAGTTTAAGATGTACTGTACACTGATTGATATCAGAATGTGGAGTTCAGCTAAAAGGTCTGAGCTGGAGATATAAATTTGGGAGTTGTCATCATATATGATGATATCAAATATCTTAGATATCATATACCTTAGATCATATTAAAATGAGATCAGTTATCATGTATCTCAGATGGTACTGAAAGGAGACCAGATGAGATGATTAAGGAAACGAATATAAAAATCCCTGGGTCACTCACTTCGAGGTTTGAGAAAAGAGATGAAACCAGCAAAGAAGACAGGGAAGGAGGGACCAGGGATAAAGGAGAAGAACCAGGGTGGGGAAAGTGAGTCAAGTGATTAGTTGTGTCAGTTGTTATAGATAAGTCAATCAAGATGAGAATGAAGACTAGATCAGTGGTGTGAACCTGTGGCATGTGTGTCACAGCAGGCTGCTTGTGTCACTGAAAGCTCTGAAAGGCTCACCATCACTGGACTAAATCATTGGATTTAGCCTATTTGAAGTTCATTATTGACTGTGATAGGACTAATTTTGATAGAATGGGAAGGATGAAATCATGATGAAGAGGACTGAATACAGGGTGGGAAACCTACAACTTCAGCTGGCAACCTGCTATATGTGTAACACTGTATGTGTTGATTCTATTCTATACATGTGTGATCTCCACATACAAATAGTGTTTGACATGTTATTGACCTTTATCTAAACGGCATCATATTGTATGTATACTGCTACAGAGTAGGAGGAGAAGAACTAGGGACAAAGTGTAGTATAGAAAACTCCTTGGAAATTTTGTTGCAAAGGAAGCAAAGAAATGGGTAGTAGCTGACAGCGGAAATGGGTCAAAGAGAAGAACTTGTGCAACTGAAGAAATAACAGGTATTTCTAAGCTTATTGGAATGAACCAATAGAGGAAAATATTGATGCTGTAGAAGGGGGAATAACTGCTGTGGTAAAGGTCATGATCTTGATTAGGCAAGAGGGGATTGGGATCCATTGACGTAGCAGAAGGACTGGCTTTAGCCAGGAGCATGGAAATTCAAATATGTAATGGAGGGGAAGGGAAAGGACAGTATTGGGTATGGGCAAATGTGATGGTTGGATTCTGTGGAAGTTTTTGTCTCTTTGCTTCAATTTCCTCAATCAAGAAGCAAGATACATGTACTTATGAGAATGAGGATAGAAGGGAGGATGTATAGGTTACAGAGAAAGTATGAAATCTGTAAAGAATGGAGGAGGAAAGTAGGTCTGTGTAGTACTAAAGGTCAATCTGAAGGTGGTTAAATTAGTGTGACTGTGTTTTTATCCGTAGCATGAGTGCTGGTGTGGAGTAGGTGGACAGCTGGCTTGAATGAGGACTGTGGTTTTGTCAAGCAAGTAGGAAAAGGGGGAAAAAGACTAGGGAACTCTGAGTATATGCAAGAGTGACTATGACTGGGCAGGGGTTTAAGCTTAGTAAGAATGGGAAGGAGCAGAGGCAAGGGTTAAAGAGTTGTTACAGTTAAAGTACTACAGAAAATGAAATAGGAGGTGATGATCACAATGGAAGGTGTTTAAAATTGTGATTATGAAGAAGCTGCAGTTTGACAAGGCTTCTGTGATTATGACCAATGGAGTGACCAATGGCTGAGTTAGGGTGGAGGACAAGATCATCTAAGGATATTAACTACTATGGGATTGGACAGAAATGGCACTGGAGTGACAGACAGCAGCAGATAGTGGAAAAAGGAAAGGGAAGAGAGCAAGGATGGCAGTACTACATAGGAATAAAGTTGCTGGTTTGTAGGGAGGAGGAGGCAGATGGTCTGGAAGCACTGTTGAGGAGAGAGGACACCTACCACACCTCCAAGGTATCTACCTCACCTCTTATGTCTAAGACTCTTAGGGCTGAAAACACAGGTGCCACTATTGAGAGGTGGAAGGGGAAGCAGTGTCCCAGGGAAGTGTCAGGTTTCCCTTAAGCAAAAAGGTGAAGGAAACCTGAAGGGAAATTCACAGAAGAGATTGAGCTTATAGAGAATGCTATTTACATAAATAAATGGATGGTATGGTGGACCATATTATTATGTAGACCCAGAGGATTCCCATCTCTTGGTGTTCACACCCTTACGTAGTCCCTTCCTCTAGAGAGTGGACAAGACCTGTGATTTACTTTAGGTTAGGGTTTATGATTATGTTACATAAGACTGTAACCAAGCTGGCATGGTAGCATGTACAGTACCTGCAGTCCCAGCAACTCAGGACACTGGAAGTAGAAGGGTCACTTGAGCTCTGGAGTTCAGGGCTACTGTGGGCAACACAGAAACACTATTTCTTAAACAAACAAATAAGCAAACAAAAAACATAACCAGTGTCTTGATGAGGCTCTCTCTTTTCCTAGCTTTGAAAAAGCAAGCTGCATATTCTGAGTTTTCCTATGGAGAAGACCACATGGCAAGGAACTGAGGGGTCCTGTAGGCAACAGCCAGTAAGGGACTGAAAACTACCAACAACTATGCAAGCTCCAAAATGGATCCTTTGTCCTAGTAGAACATTACTTGGAAGAGGACCCAGCAAAGCCATGCCTGGACCCCACAGAGACTATAAGTTAATAATGTGTGCTATTTTGAGATTCTAACTTTCTGGTAATATTGTTATACAGTAATACATAATGAATACAGATGGAAGGGAAGAAGTTTAGTGATAGTAATGTTGCTTCATGTTTAAAACTCCTGAGGTATAATACTGCAGAATCACATATTTGTCTATTACCAAGTCATTTTTAATCATCTGCCAGCTGACAGATCTTCCTTTAATTTTGTTGACAGCAAAGAATTGGAAACCACTTGATTTGCAAAACATTTTAATATCTACTCTTTAAGGCCATTTACTTTCTTGGCACAGACACCAATTTTTGAGTTGTGCCTCTGGACTGCCTGGGAGGTTTTGACCTCTTGGGTCACTTTAGTAGTGGGTGACAATTTTGACTTTCTTTTATATGATGTGAGGACAGTTTTGTAAGGAGATGCTGTGTCATCTGTCATCTCAAGCTGGACAATTTTAGAAAATAGTACATATAGGGAAGATCTGGAAATGAATTTCCTTAAAACTAGTCTTTTTAAGTCTTTATTAACCTTAGAGCTAAGGGAACACCAGTTTGAATACAACAGTTTTAGAGGCTTTCTGGTAGAAGAAGCAAGAGCCTAGCATGTGATGGCAAGGAGGACAGAACTGGACACTACTTGAATGGTAGGCAGAGCGTATAAAGTGTCTGGGCAACACGACCTAAGAAATGACTTAGAACTATCTAATACTTAGTCTTGGAGAGTCCACAACGAAGTATTTCTTGGTTGGTGAAAAATACTCATATAATTGACTTGTTTTGTGAAACAATTTATTACTACTATTACGTATTATCACTTTTTTGCGTTACTGGGGTGGCAGCCCAGGGCCTTCTGCACACTAGGCATGGGCTCTATCGCTGAGCTACACGCTCAGCCAGAAAGAAATGCATGCATCTTATAAAGTTGGCAGGAGTCAAAAGTAGAGTTTATGCCTTTTCCTACCCAACGGGCAACCTACTTAATAAGAGTGTGACAGATCTCTACGGTGGCTTCCAACTCGGAGATTCTGCCCAAGTCCCTTGCAACACGAACTTCTCACATTTCGTGACATCTGGCAAGGCTTCTGAATGTGATTCCTTGCCTGTCCAGTGTGTTTCCGGAGTTTAAACACTAGAGTTCGTGATTTGGGGCTGGAGGGAAGGAAAGGAAGGTGCAGCGTTTTTTCCCAAAGTAAGCCTCCACAAACACCAGGAGTTAGTGCTTGGCTGTTAGACCCTTGTGTCCACGCAAGTCCTCAAAACAAAACAAAACAAAAATAAAAAAGGTGCGGATGAGCGCTCATCATAAGTTCGTACTGGACACGGAGTTCTCCCGCCCTACCTGGGAACTCTTGCAAAAGGATGCCTTTCTCGCTAAAGACCACCCCCGGAAGCGGCCTCTGTCTCGGAGGCTGCACCGCGCGATCCGCTAGGTCAGCCCCAGGCTGGGGCTCCCAGTAGCTCGTCCTCTGGCGCTGCCGCGGACGCCTGCGCAGAACGATCCTCCCCTCTCTTGGGGCAGGAGGCGGGGGCACCCGGGAGAAAGAAGAGCTGCGGGGGGGGAGGGCCAAACCCTGAAATTACCCGGATGTGGTCTCCGCGCGCGCATGCTCAGTGTCCTTTCGACAAGTTGGCAGCAACAACACGGCCCTGGTCGTCGTCGCCGCTGCGGTAACGGAGCGGCTCGGGTGGCGGAGCCTGCGTTCGTGCGTCTGCTCTCCTCGGGAGGCCCTTCTCACTCTCCTCTTGTTTCCGTGGCTGCCCACTGGGCGAGAGTGGGTGAGGGGAGCCGGACGCCCCGCGCGAGAGGTCCCCCCACCGCGGGGCGGCCCGGGAGCCCGAGGCGGCCCGGCCCGCGCGGGCAGCGGTGTGGCCGAGGAGGGGCGGCCTGGCTCGGACACCTCGGGGTGGGGCCGAGGAGCTCTCCGGGCCGCCGGAGGAAGCGACGGGCGCGACTAGTCCACGGACGAGCAGCGGCGGGAGAGCGGACTCTCTTCCCCAGCGCCCGAGCCCAGGTAAACGCGCCATGTCCCCTCCCCTTCCCCCGCCGGGCCCGCGCGCCCCGCCCGCGGCTTCTCCTCTCCGGGGCGGGCTCCCTGCGGCGGCGGGGAGCTCACGGGAGGCCGGCGGGTTCGCCTAGCGTGTGAGCACCGCCGCCAGGAGGGCCGGGCCTGGGCGGGCGGGGGCCACCGCGCTGGGCAGGGCGGGCCGGCCGTACCGCCGCGCCCGAGCCCCTTGTACTGCTGGGTCGATTCCGCAGCCCCGAACTTCGGTCGCAGTTCGTCGGACTATACAGTTAGACTCGGACGGGTACTTCTGCCTCAGTCGCCTCTCCGCTTTGTTGTTCTGAGTAGTTTCGTCCGGGCGGAGCGCGTTGAGTCTACTGGAGTGTGTTTGTTGCCTTTAGGTCCAAGAGAAAGTAGTAAATGGTTTGTCTAATTTCTTAAGCAGATTTTTGGGTTTTTTTTGTCCTTTACTTTCTCCTCATGATTGTGTCCTTCCACTTTACGTTTCTGGCTTTGATTTGTTTACTTTTTTGGTATTGTGAGTGATGGCGGCATGCAGGAAACATTGAAGCACCTAACTGAAACTCCTCCCTTCCCTAATAAAATGTGTCTCCTAATAAAAGACTTAGTTTATCTTATTGTTAGGACTACAAGTACGGTGCGTGAAATTGGTGTAGGATGGAGGGCGTTGGCATCATCACATGCCATAAACTGCTGTTAGGATTTCTCAGGCTAGATTTTCGAAGACATGGGTGTGTTTAGTTAATTTGAAAGGTTTAACAGCCTTTGATTTTTGCCAGATTTAGCATCCTTTTTATTTCATTAGCAGCTTTGAGTCTTTTAACAAGTAGGTTCAGTACTTTTTGTTGGCAGAAATCATGTTTTGATCGAAAATATAGAAATCTCTAAATTCTCAAAGTAATTAGATTTAGACATTGCATTTAAATAATTTTTATTGTAGATTTCATAATTTACCTTTGCCTTGCGGTATCAAGACTAAATATACTTGACTTGAAATGTAGCTTGGGAAATTCTAAAGTGCTAAAGACTTACTCTGTATTGGAAGTTTTTGATATGACTAGCACATGATATTCCAAAGTGTAAATGAATGATATAGTTAACATTTTAAAATATGATTTCTCTTTAATGTCTCTTCCATAATGCTTTCACAGTTTTGTTTTCTCAAATGGGATTGTCACAGAACTAATGAAATAGAGGCACACCAAAAATTTATGATTTGGAATAGCTTTAGGTCTAAAAGTGGTGAACTATGTACATTGAAGTTATTAGAATTAAAACTAAAAGCCTTTCTAGAGAAGACTGACATAACATTTTGTGAATCTGTTAATAGAAGTGACATTTTGTTTGCTTTCCAGGTTTATGGAATTTGCTTTAAAGTAGTATTGCATCTTAATTTTTATTTTATTTTCGAAGTGGGATCCCTATTTCTTTGTTTAGCAAAATATCTTCAATGTAAACCTTGAGGTTAGGGAAAAAAGAAAAACTTAATCTGTTTTAGAATAAATGAAAATGTGTACTGAGAAAGTCACTTTGAAATATTTTGGAGTAAGTTTTGTATGGACCATTGACCTTTTATGATGGCTTTGGTGTTGAAACAAAGGATACTAGGATGCAGTATATATTATTTTTGAAAACTAGTGCTTTACTTAAGTTATATTTTAGTTGAGCTATTTCTCTGGGTGTGTGTTCTTTTTCTGCACACCCCTCCCCCAACGAAGGAGCAAGCATTAAAATAATTAATTCATCCCAGTCATACTCAAGCTCTCCCATTTAGAAGCATTTTTTTCCCCCTGATGGAGCCAGTGTTATAGTAACATGGTTAGACACTGATCTAATTGAGCTGTGAATTGCTGGGGCCTGTAGTAGAGCACTTAACTCTACAGAATCTGCAGAGTTCGTTACATTTAAAATGCATATTTAGCCGGGCATGGTGGCACACACCTGTAATCCCAGCACTTGGAAGGCTGAGGCAGGAGGATTGCCATAAGTTTGAGGCCAGTCTGGGTTACATAGTGAGTTCATGGCTAGTGAGACCCTATGTCAAAAGATTAAAAAAAATAGTAATAATAAAGTAGGGGAAGAAAATTGATACACTTTTTAAAAAATGCATAGTCTTATCTAATTTTTTGGCTATTCTGATGAGAACATACGTTATTTTTCTGATATTCAGACTTATTTCAGTTGTATTTTGCCTCCCCCCCCGTTAGTTCGTGCTGTTTCATTTCTCATTCTGTGATTTTTAGAGTGAATGGTCCTTTAAGCATCTTACATTAGCCATTTCAGTGCTCATTGTATATGTTTAGACTCCCCCCCCCACCAAGATTGTGTAGTTAGGCAGAATTTTTTTCCTTAAAGCTAGGAAGAATGGTGATTTTGAGGTGACTTTTAATGATGTATAAAACTGAAAGTTTTATTGATTTCATTATTTTCCATGCTAAAGGAAAGTTGAATGAGTTAGACTAGCATAACACAGTGTTCAGCAGTACAGGTTTATCAAATTTTAGGCTTTTTGCCCAAAAATTGGTGAAGACTCAGTTATTTAAAATGAGACATTCATCCTGGTACTGGAAAATAAATAAATGAATAAAATGAGACATTCAAACCATTGACATCTAAGTATGGACATCATTTGAGCTACTTTCAGTATGATACTGTGTGTATCATATTTCAAACATATGATGAGTCACATTTAGAATTTGTAGATTTGTCATTTAAAAATGTGTAATTTTGGTGATGGGAAATTTGGCTGAATTCCAGTTTCTCAGCAACAAGGTGTTTTAGGTTGTGTCACTTTGATGCTGTTCATGCTGTAATTGGCAACCAGTACATTTTTAAACATGAAAGTGAGTGAAAACTGGGGTAGTATTTACATAAGTAAAACTAAGATGGTAAGTGGTCAGATTTTTATCTGTAAAGTTCTTACAGTTTAAGTCTTGGTAACTTGGCTAGATAACAACAGAGACTGTAAAGAGGGTTTGTTATGTCTTAATTTAAAGTTGGTGATGGTTATAAATAACCTTTCAGCTGTATCTTGCTATTTATGTTTTTTTAAAAAAACATTTTAAATGGAAGACTTTTTTTTGTAGTACGGGAATCTTTTTATTCCCCCTCCCCGCTTTGTGGTGCTAGGGATCAAACCCAGGACCTTATGTACACATGCTAGGCAACCATTTACCACTCAGTTATACTCCTAGCCTTTATATCGCTATATAACTGCGCCCCCCCCCCCAAACTGGGAATGAAACCCAGGGAACACTGAGCTACATCTCCAGCCCTTTTTATTTACTTTTTAAAATTTTGAGATGAGGTCTTGGTAAGTTGACCAGAATGGCCTCAAACTTGGTGATCCTCCTGTCTTAGCCTCCCAGGTAGCTGGGATTACAGGAACACACCAACATTCTCACCTGGGCAGTAGTTTTCAATCTTGGCTATCTATACCTTGAGAGTTCTTGGAAGGCTTTACAAGACATTAATGGCTGGGTCCTGACCCCAGATATTTTAATTTGGTTGGAGTAGGGTGCATCCAGGTCAGACCACCACAGAGGGATGACAAAAAGAAACTACCTCAAGTCCCTAAATTAGCATTTAAACTGCAAATTTTTGAGCTACCAGTACCAATTTTTCTGCTCCCCTAAATGAGGCACAAGTAAACATTTTAGAGTACAGTGTTTTAGAAAACCAGCTTCCTGTTTAAAATAATGATATACCAACTTTTCATCATGGGAAATATAGCTTCCTAAAATTTGCTACCAGACAGAATGAATTGAAAAGTAAATGAAGCCGAGAAAAGGGATAGAGGATGAGGTGGAGAAGAGGGAGGGAAGGAGGGAGGGAGGGTGAGAGAGGGGGGGAGGCAGTAAAACAAAGTACATGTGGCAGCTGCAGTGTGGTGGTGCACACCTGTAATCCCAGCACTTTTTGAAGCTAAAGCCAGAGGATTCCAAGTTTGAGTCCAGCCCAGGCAATTTAGTGACCTTGGCAAGACCCTGCCTAAAAATAAAAAATTTTATAGCCAGGCCCGTAAATGTAGCTCAGTGTGAAGGCTATCACAATAAGCAAACAAAAAGTGCCAGTACTTTCAGAAGACTCATTAAGTTAGGGTTCCTGAGAGGCAAGTGGCACTCATTTAGCTTTTGCTGTCAGATCTTAATTTATACACTGTGAGAAAGTTGCTCAGCTAGCCCAACTAGCTGGCAGTTCTTGAGATTATCCAGGAGCATGTTCAATTCTCCATTTACATCACCTGAAGTAGTTTCCTAGAGCTGTAGTTGCGTCTCTGTTTCTAGAAGTTATTTAAATAAACTTCTAAAAGTCCTAAAAGTAATTTTTGCCACCCAATCCCAGCACATACACTGATTCAGGATGCAAATGGAATGGAGGAAGCATGGGAATCTGTATTATAAAAAGCCCCTCTTGACTTTAAAGGCTTTTGATTATTTACAGTGTATCCTTATTGCTTTATTTGTGTTAATATAGTACAGACTTTACCTTTCCATCATTGATACACTGGAGTAATTTATTTGAAATCTATTGAACTTCAGTTTACGTGTTTTGAATGCAAATCTTAGGACCAAACAAAAGGATGCTACTAAATACTTGTTTTTAGTAAAGTATGATTGTTGTGTCTCACATTGGATAAATGTGGGCACCTCAGGTCTTTTCAAGTCAAAATGTATTTCAAAGTGTAAAACTGAGTTAAGGATTTTTTATCAGTGATGTTCACTAGTGAATTCTGGAGTATTTGTTACCAATACGTGACCAGCCATTTTAACAATTGAATCATTACTGAAAAGGTGATGGACGTAGGACTTAATTAGAAAAACTAAGCCAAGAATCATTGTATTTAAACACAGTAAACGCATCTGTGTCATAGCTATCTCTACTAAAATTAGCTGCAGGAAGAATTTTATGTAGATATAAGTGAAGCAGCTAATTGTAAAGGAAAGTGACATCATTCCTTTTTAATTAGTCTTTTAAATTAGTTGCAT